TAAGACACTAAGGGAAACAACTAAACTAAGCTGGTGGTAGATATATACATCCGATTATAAAAATGTTTTAAATGATGATAATATTCTTCCTTGGGCGTTTTTAAATTTAAAGTAATTAATTTTGTAAATTTACGAAATCTAACTTTTTATACGTTCATCTAGTTATACTTAGATTTAGGATAATATTTTGTACTCATAATAAAAAATAAAACACAAAACGTTTCATCCTCGAACGAGAAATATTGATTGAAATATTCAATTATTAAAGTTCGTCTTTAATTCAAATATTAAAGACGAACATCATATTGAGGGATCGTAAACAAATTGTTGAGCGAAATCTTTTCATTTGAACGCAATTAAAATTAAACATCGTTTACAAAAAATGTTTCTGATGTTAAGAAATTATGCGACGAGAGTTTTTACGCAGATTATTTTGAAAAATATTGATTAATATAATCTTTTTTTCTAAAACAAATGTTCGTACCCTACGTTTAAGATACAAAACGACGAACATTTTCACAGGTCTTTTCACAGAATATTATAGAATTTGTATTCTAGAAAACACTGGTAAGGTTCAGTGTTGGCACGTAGACAACTTGTAATATTGTTTTGCACTAATTAAAAGTTAAACATATTTGCCTTTTAATGAACTTTTTGCACGATTACTAGATTATGATTTTAAAGTTATAAAACTTCCTGAAAGTATTAATAAAATGTTTTCTGTCTTTCAAAATCTATAAATTACTCGTGTAAATATTCCTTCGGCATATCAAATATGGCAAAATTATAAATTAAAGACACTACTGAATCACAAAATGATATCATTGAATGGTATTTAAAGGCATAAAATCAACTTGGAATTTTTCGAATTTATTTATTAACTGACTCATCAGCGCAAACTGGAAACGTCTTCGGAAATGGCAGATTTTGAAATTAAATATCTCTTGTCAGATTTTATCATATGTGATTCAAACTTTTTCTGTTTAATTTTTTATAACGAGTACAAAATTTTAACCGGAGGAACGTACGAAAAATTAGATTTCGCAATACTTACAAAATTGATGTCTTTAAATAAACTCCAAAACAAGAATCTTTGCATCATTTAAAACATTTTTGTAACCGGAAGTATATGTCTACAACCAATAAAATAAATGCTTGATAATAAAATAATGCCGCTTATTATATATATATATAGAGAGAGAGAGAGAGAGAGCTATTTTTTTTTTAAACGGCTTTAATTTTTTCCCCCGTTCTTGAAAGCGTATTACATAGATTTTGAAAGCATGCCAAAAAATCGCTGCGAAAAAACAATGAAATTGCTTTCAATATTGTTTTTTTATAGCTAGACAGCGGATATTGTTTTCTGAATTCTTATTAAAAATTTGAACGAAAGTATGTGAAGAATTTTCTAAAGTTCCGGAATTCTTTCCTTTCATAGTGATAAAATGGAGCGACTTACTAGTTATACATTCAACATGCATGTGTTGGTTTTCACTGCCATAGATTAGAATTTCTGTATGACAGCAGGTGTGGTAGCGAAACAATATGGGACTAATTTGTCACCCTAAATAATCAGTAAAACATGTAATTGAGTAGTATGTACTGAATGAGTAACGAAGCGAAGCATTGTATTCTGCGCTGCTGGAAGACCAGAGAGATCACTCTTATATCTTCTCGCAATTTTCCGGGTGAGCAGGAAAATAAATACCCTTAGAGCAAAGGTTGCAAGGGATTGTGAAACAATCATATGGAATGTCATATTTTTTATTTCTGGCATCTTTTTGCAATATCCAATTTATTTTCACAATATATTTGAAGTATTTCCTTTTGTATCTTAAATGACAGATACGAACATTTTCCCTTTACGGCGATTTCATTTATTAAGCTTTTTTTTTACGCTTTTCTTCAAGTTGTGTTGATATATTCAACAGTTTTTTTATTGCAAGACTTTATTTCACCTTTCCTGTTTCTTGCGATATTAGTTTCGATGTAGATCACATACATAAATTTTTTAAATTGGTTTGCTTCAAAATGCTATTATTTGCAATGATTTATTGTTTGATTCCTTATATAAATTTGACGCAAAACAATATTGAGCTAAGAATTATGTAAAATATGGAATGCTGATAATTTTTAACTCAGATTCTTAAATAAATTTAAATAGTTAGATTTTAGATTTGGTTTTTTTAATAATGCAAAGCTACCCAGGACAATCTGTTTACGGAAAGAGCCTTCCTGGAAATTGGCTCATATTCACATTATTTTTTTAATGGCCGGGCGCTTTATTTAATAGCGACTATAAAGGCCGGGAGTGGTGGCCATTTCATTACGGAAGCAGCTTTGCCTTCTATGAAGGGACGGACAGTTACAACTATGCCTTCCCCGGGATTCGAACCCGGGTCCATCGCTACCGAAGTCAGGGTCATTAACCGCTATACAGGCCGGGCGGCATATTCACATTATACATGGACAAAAATACGAAAGAACCCATACGGCTAGCCCGTTCGCCAGGTTTGAGAGCTGGTTCAAACTTTTCAGTGGAAACTTAGCTGCTGCGGGAAAAAAAAAAAAAAAAAAAAAAAAAAAAAAAAAAAAAAAATTGCAGTTATTACTTAAGAACCTTAGTTATTAATCATATTTCAAGTTAATTTCTGTTTTAATAAAAACGTCAATAACAAAATTTATTCAATATAATGTTTAATACGTTGCTTCTTGATGTGTTCCAAAGTTAATACAGTTAACAACCGTAGTTCCTTTTTTAAAATGAATTTTTAACTTTTCATAGCTAATTAGGCGCCCCTTCTAATGCCTCGGCTGAGACAAGTAGTGTCTCATTTGCCTCATTTTTACCTTGCTCTGAGCTCTTCTTTGATTGGTTATCATTGTGTTGGTGGGTCAGAGAAAATTTTTCACTGTTGCAGGCTTTGGATGTTTCGCCGTTTTCTTTTGGAACACACCGAAACACAGAAGAGAATGACTTCCACCGACGTGAAACTAGGGTTACGGATGGCCAAGCCTTCAGTCCATTTTGGACTGCCTTATGTTTTCGGAGGAAAAGGATACCAGATATAACAGCATATTAATTGTTCTGGCACAGGAACCGAAATTCGAGATGGCAGAGGTTTCAAAGAAAATGCTTCGATATAGCTATGGTGAAATTCACAACTGAATTAATGCTGATAATGAAAGAACTATTTTCCCACCGACATACCCAGGAATTCGAGATAAAGAGATTTGACGTAATGAGATTCGACTGTCCCGTAAAATGCTTATTCTGTAATTTACATCGTTTAAATAATACCGGACAAAAATGACAAGTTTTTCGCCGTCATTTCCTTAGCTGTTTTATTTGGAAACCGGCTTCAATAGCAAATAGTCCGAGGATTTTCTTCAGTTAATTTTTAATGTGATGTTCAGGACTATTAGGCATCGAAATAATCATAAAAAACAAATCATAATCTATTTGAATTCTTTTATAAATCACCTCTGACTTAAAAACAAATATTTTAATTTTTAGATGAAGAATATGAATTAAGATACCCTGAAATAATACATACCCGCAATTAATGTTTCTCGATTCAGTATTCAAGTGCAATCTGTTAATGCATTAACAAAATACAATAAAACAAAATCTGCCGATGTAAAAAGATAATTCGCCGATGTAAACAGAAATGTTTAGCCTTATGATGTTCTTAAGGATCACATTCTGAATAATTCGAAAGGTTTATTAAGTAGGTGAATAAACAATAAATTATCTTCATGTAACCAAGAGAACTGCGAAAAGACTGCATTTTTTTTGTATACGATAGTGTTTTCCTGTTTAAAACAACGAAATTATATATATTCTCAGTTACGATTGTAGACTGTCAGTTAAATAGTTTACAGACACGCTTGGCTAGCTATTTTTTTTCTTTTTACATACGTCTTGAAAGCATCGAAAATATTATTTTCCACTAGGTGTTGGGAGGAGGGGAGACTTTGTATTACAAACGAAAGTTATCTCTGCATTGTTTCTAAACTGTTTTCTAAGTCGAATATGATACTTAGTATGAAACATCAAATAGCATTATTTAACGTTTAATAGTTTAAATACATGGTCAATCTGAAAAAAGTGAGGAAAACTTGACGAGGTGATAGAACGCGGCTACACGAGTAATATTCGTCATAAAATATATGGTCGGAACGCAAGCGGTGAGAAGCTAAAAGGGAATTTTTCACTGTAGCATTTAAAGAATTAACACAAGAGTGATAGGAGATACTTCAAAAAAACATTTTATTAACAGGAATCTAATTGATGTACAGGCTCAAAGAAATTGCTCAGAAGACATTCTGCCACTGTAATGTAGGCTTCACACCTGCGGAACAGGGACTGACGCACATTTGCGAAGACACCAGGCATTTCCCGAGTATCGCCGACAACAACGACGATCTTGGTGAATATGAATAGGTCCATATTTATTTCAACTCGGCAATCGTAGATTAGACTTTTTGTATGGCCCCACACGAAAAAGGTCCAAATAGGAGGAATACGGTGGTCTGCCTATGGGACCACCTCGACCAATCTATCGCCCTGGAAATTTCGTAGTTCGTATAACCAGCCATCCTCTCGGCAATCCACGGTAGAAAATGTGAGCACCGATTCTTTTTATTTATACCATTTGCAATTCGACCTAGAAGCTCGTCTTTTGCTTTTCCGTCCAGACTTTCTATGACGAATATTGCTTGTATAGCTAGGTTTTATCATCCCGTAAAGTTTTGCTCACCTGTTTCAGATTCATCCTGTATATTCCAGGTTAATCTCATGGAATCCAAGTAGCTTGGTATTCAAGTAACTCTTATCCTTTAATTGCAAAAGAATTCGAGCGATTAAAAGTGCAGGTAGTCAAGTACTTGCTGTTATATTTTCTCCGCACATGTTTCTGGAATCATATAAATGTATCAGATTATGCAGCACGAATAATGATTTGGCATACTAAACATCATTTTAATTCTTCTTTTAGGCTTCAGATCAAGGAAGTGCCGGATGATTCTTTCCTTTGCGCCATATTGTCGATTTGTGAGTTGCATTCCAAAAAGCCTGTCTAACTCACATGTATCAGTAAGTTACCTTTAACGAAATCTTTTTCTTTGTATTCATCTTGTTTTGATTAAATGCCCTATGCTGTTTTGAGTTACCTTTTGTTTATTATTTTTTGATAAAGCGTTCAGTCATGGGTTCGAAAACTAAACATTATAAAACAGATGTACTCTGTACTCAAAGACTGAATTCCGTAAGTCGATGAAAAATAGAATATTCGCAAAAAGTTGTGCGATCTTTGCTGTACTTGGTCACGTAACCAGTAAAGTAGTACTGAATCAGCATATCACGTGAAAATTAGTTTTTAGGTACATTAGTTTAAGTAATCGGAAGGAAAACATGGTACTACTCTGCTATAAAGACCGGGTCCAGAAATGTACGAGTATGTATGCATGGCTGGATGGATGTGTTCATATATGTAATGTACATATGTACATACATCTGTTTGTGTGTGCAAATACATACGTACACATGTGCATACATATATACACTTCTGAAGCTGGTTCTGATAACAGAAGAGTACCGGAAACATAAGGACAAGTCGTGTTTAGTTGTGAATAAAAAAATTCCTATAGTCATTTTGCTGCAGGAAAATTGAGATACCTAAATAATATAAATTTTTAAACACCATTTAATATTATTTAAGCAAATTTGCTTACTGTAAGCGTCGATAACTCCAGTGTAATATATTCAAGGAAAACATTTTTAAGGGAATAACACGTTCAGGATAAAAGGTGTAATATATTTTTTTTTAACAAAAATAGAAGTTTTTAGCCCAAAGGAGCATTAGCCCAAAAGGGCTATTAGTCTGGAATCAGCATTTTGCATCGGTTCACTGTAAAGGGCGTATGATTTTTTTTTAAATTGTTGCCACTATATATTATCGCCCTGTATTATATTTAAAAAACATAAATAATGAAGAGTCTGCATGAATGTATGTTTCTCGCATTGTGGAAAAACGGTACCTAGAGCGATCAGATTTTGAGTAACGTAATCCTCCACCCGAACACGGGCACCTGGACGACCGAATTTTGAATTTCGAATTTGTTTTATTATCTCTTTCTTATTTTGTAAAACTGTAGACGAATTTTTGATTAACAAATTCAACTATTTCAAAGCGAGCAATAGCAACACTGTATGGGAAAAAAAAATTATCTCCAGCATGCGAGATTGTCTGTCAGGAATTTTAAAGATATTCTGTTAAGTATTTTGTGATATTGCTGGAGAATTGACTTTTATATGGTTTTAGTGCGAAGAACATAATATTTAATAAATAAAAGTAACACACAAAACGTTATAAAACACTCCTTTGGGTCTAATATAAAATTTGAAAGTTTCAGATATTTTTGTTAGCTTTTTATGTTTTATCGCAGGTTTATTTGTTTCTGATTGCGTTATTTATCAGGACAGTGTTCAAAGTATAGCAACACGGCATCACTCATATTGAATACATGATGGTTTATCACAATTTAAAAGTTTTGGGCCAAAATTTTCGTTAAAATTCCGAAGAAAACTTATCATTAAGTTTCAGAAAACTGTCCTGTATATCGTCAAGGAAACTAGATGGGTCTGCATGTTCTTGTATTCGCTTTTGTGTTTCAAAATCATGCAATAAAAATAAAAAATTTAAACGTGCAAAATTATTATTTATACAGTATGGCGGATGGGATGCAAATATAATTGCTTTTATGATGTAAATATAATTTATCAATTACTAATTAATTTGTAATTAATAGATTATATTAACAGCATATTTCTTTCTTCCTAACTTATTACAATAATCTACAAATTAAAAAAAAAATGCTCCTTTTTTTTCAAGATTTTTGCATTTTTTCCGTTATTCCCTAAAAAACTATTTCTCGTTCAGAAGAAAATAACATGAAATGAATTATTTAATAAGATCGTTAAAAAACAACGTTGCTATCAGAAAGCTTCCGAACTGCGTTTGATGCGTCTTGCGTTGTGCTTACTATCGAGGAACTCGAAAATTTTAAATTTAGCCCCGATATTCTTGCTTATTTAGGCAGATTGTAGCTCTCATGTAGTTTCCTTAAATAAAATACTTAAATAACTTGAATAAGGTAACTACAGATTTTCTCTTTTATGATCCGATTTAGTTGTGCAGTGTTTTCGCAAAATTGGAGGGACATGCGCTTTTCTTTTCGGATATATATCGTTTTGAACATTTGTTTCCGATGAAAATTTTCCTGATGCGATTAGATAGTTTTCCGATTTAATTGTGGATAACTGACGATGCAGTGGAATAATTTCAATTTCAATGTGCCCCCCCCCGTCTACGGTTTTATGCACTACGGGACTCGCAAATTATGATTTGAATTTCTTACACAAATGTCTTAATTTAGAAAATGTTCTCTAGCTAAATACCCAAAACAATTTGGCGACCAATCAGTAGCTCTCAATCGACATTTTGACGAAATGTTCTAGTCGTTTCTTTAACTCATTCGAATTCATCGTGTAGGGAGGAGATTTAATTTTATTGTTTATATATGAAGCATTACGAAATAATTATAGAATAATGATTAAAAAAAAGAAAGGGGATTTGATTGGACATTCAGTTTAGAACTCTCACAGCATTTTGTATTTTTCATTTCATTGTGTCCGAATTGGATTTACAACTGAATTTTAATAAAGATATACTTTTAATCCGAGTATTTAGTTACTGCAGAACACAAGGGTATGTCTTATTGTGGAAAGGATTGGATGTGGAAAGGATTGGATGTATTGATAGTAAAGCAGACGAAGGTTATAGGCCTGACCGGATGTCCTTTTTGAAGACTTTCTAAGAGAAATTGATTTATATTTACATTGCATATGGGCTAAGCTCCATTCATGAGAACTGAATCAGGGTCGAACTTCTAGCGTTCAGCGATCATTCACCACTGGTAGGAACTCGATTAATAATGTAACATTACACACTTATCAAATTTCAACTTTTTTCGCAATGAATATCTAATATACCTCATTCGGGAAACACGATTCTATACTTATACTAATTATAGTGTAACTGTTTGATATTATAAAAGTGAAAAGTAACATCTTATTTTCAATATGCCATGGTTAAAATTCCAGTTTTTATTTATACATTATAATTATTTTTGTTATTTTCTGGAGTGAACCGAGGGCCGCATAAAAATGAGTCAAGGGCCACGACATGACTACTTTACATTGACATGTCTGCTTTATACCATATTTGAAGAGGGGCTTCAGAAAGTTTTAAATGTAAGATAAGTGTACAAGATAAGTGTCTAAAGTTACTTTCTGAGTTTTTTGCATAGTTCCAAAGCGGTCCGTTAAGTGTTGGATTCCAATCAAAAGAAGAAGAAAAAATCTGCTTTGGCATAAACTTCAAACCATTCCTGAACAACATCTTTCAAATCAGAATAGCAACCATGTGTGCTGAAGCGTTGTCGAGCAAATTGACTGAGTTAGCCTCGATATTTTGTCTTTATCACTTGTCTGAACCAAGACAACAGGTTACACCATAAACACCTGTTATCATGGTATTATATGGCGTATGATTATTAAGCGGCGGTTTATCTTCATTCCCCAAAATGTTGCCCGGAATCTTCCCGACATATAGCTACTCAGATTCTGAATTATGAAGAAAGGCAGAGAGATCCACAGAGTTTACATAGCATGCTTTCGTTTCGTTTCTGAATTACAGTAGTAAAGTCGTGTTTATCTCTTGCCACTACCCATAAATAAAAATTCATCCTAATTGAGAACACGAAAGCCCGTGTTTCATCATTTCTCGCGTCAATATTTATTTGGCGCAGACCTTCGTCATTTCCCAGCTTTTCAAGAAACATTTGTTTCATTGATTAGAGACTTATGTCGGATGTCTTATTTTCATAGCAAGCTGAGAAATTAATCCATTCCGTGGGCTCGTTTAGGAACATTTTCGGGTGATGCATTTCCTTCTCTAAACATGGCAATCTATGTTTTGACAGAGGCGTCGGGGAATTATATCTCACTAAAGAATTTAGAAAAAGAAAACGTTTTGTAATTAAAATTTCTGACAACAGTTATTATCATCGCCTGCAACTTTTAAATCTATTCTGTTGCAAAATATCGCATATAAACAAGCTGTTACTTGAAGACTATGTTTTTGTGTTGAGAAATACTCCTGTTCCATAATTCAAAAACGTTGTGAAATGCGTGGTATCAAATTTTCTAAGTGCAAAATAAGCAGCATTATTAATCGGAAGGGGAAAAACCGTCAATCATTACTTCTACATGGGTAGAAGACACCCATCGAATATCCGAAAAGGGTACGTACTGTTTCTGAGGTTAAATCGCTGTTAACAATGGAAAATCCACCGAGGCGGGAATCAGGTGCAAAGACTTTAAATACATCTGCATCGACAATAAATAAAATAATAAACAAATATTTACAACTTATAATGTTAACCAGCGTTTTGTCGAACCATATGGCTCAGCGGAAAACAATTTGCAGAGCCCATTAGGAAAATTATTTAGCATGAAATAAATGGAAATACGTTGTGCTTTTGATGAAGCATAGGTTTATCTAAGAAAAAAATTTACAAACCTGCTTTCGTTAATGCAAAGAAAGTTTCGGTAAGGGTTTATGATTGTTGCAGCGTTTTCGTACAATGGAAAATTAAAAATAAGAGAAATATAAAAACAAAATGTTAAAATCAACTCAACATACTACGAAGAGAAAGTTTTAAGCTCGATATTAACAGGTAAAATTTCATTTCTGTACCCCACTTTCTTTCAGAGTGAAACTTCATCAAGGCAAAGCAACAAGTCATACTTACAGAAGTACCACTGCATTCCCTGATAAAAAGGAAGGGTGATACAGGTATTGCTCAATGCACATTTTCAAAATATTCCTGCGAAGTCCCCTGATACCCCTATTTTGCCTTTGGTCCAGGAACAAAGGCTATCAAATCGTAGATTTAAAAAAAAATACTCTTTACACTTTAAACATTAATCAAACAGCCCCGAAGTCGTCCTAAAAATGTTTAAACACTGGA